CGGGGCTTTTCCGCATTATTTGACACGGGGGCACCTGAGCAGAAAACCCAAAGACCGTCCGAAGCAGCTGGATTTTGCTTTCTCACACAAACAATTTTTTTTTGGGGTACTTGGTGTTGGGGGGCACAAAGCAAATTTTTTTTTGGATTTTTTACAAGTAGTTTCAAACCCCGAGTTTTGAAAGCGCTCAAGGTTTTAAGGGAGCCAAGTTGAAAGGGGGAATTTAAAGGGCTTTTTGTTTTTCAGAAAAGGGCATTTTAAATTTGGGCAAATAATTTTGTTTTTTCCACCCAAATTTGACTTTAAAGCATGTGAGGGGGAATCTGAAATTTTCTGGGTTTGGGATTTTGGGGCCTTTTTTTTAAAAAGGGGGGAGTCTTTGGGTTTTTTGAGATCTGGAAGAAAAAGGGGCAGTATGGGAGTCACCTCTCGATAGAGCAGTTTAAGTAACCATGGGGATATTTGGTCAGGACGGGTATGACACTAAAACAGTGAAAAGTTGTTTAAGTGAAACATTTATGGACATGAAATAGATCTAGTTATATTTTTCATTTCTTATGTAATGTCATAATACTTTTATAAAATACTTTTCTGGAATTATGGTATATAAAGCGATGAATGAATTAACGCCAGCATATACATGTATTTCTAATCTAATTCCGTTATCTCAAAATAAAACTTACTTACTGAGATCAAGACATAAAAAAGATATTATGCATAAACGGCCTAAAACAAATTATTTGAAACGTACTTTTTATTATTCTAGTATGGAGTATCTCACTGTGGAGTGCCCGGAAATGAGGAGGCTGACAAGCTGGCTAGGTTAGAGGCCCAGTTGGAGCAACCAGATAACCAGGTGACATACAAAGGGAGAAAGCCACCATTCATTTCAAGGCTCTCACCCAAGACAAGACAGATAGCGGATGCCTAACCACATTGCCTAAACCCCGACCAGAACAAGTTTCGGTGAATGGTCAGGCTTCCCGTCTCGGGAAAACACAACATATGAATGCACACATTGTGCAGGAAGTACAAAAGGTGCCGTCCCCCATATTCCCTGTGGAGAAGAGGACCAGACTTACAGAGATATCCCCCAAAAAGATGCAAAAGACACGACCAGGAGCAAGGGCAACGTGGCCCGAGGTGCAACACTCCAGGCAGAAGCTGTACGGAGACATGAGGACCTGCGGCACGGACCACAACCTTCATGCGGAATAACTGGCGTGACTGTAGAACGAACGCCCAGTAAGTAAGTAAATTCTAACTAGTATGGAGTTATGGAACACTACTCCTTTAAAAATAAGAAATCTTTCAAGTTTTAAATTGTTTAAATCACGTTACATTTCAAACATTTATTATTATCTAGAGATGAATTATAGAAAATTTACCTATACTATAATATAAAATTATGTCTGTCTTCTTTGTTGATTAAGATTTACTGAATGTTGTAATCTATATAATTGCTTGAATATGTCCATTGTTATGTTTATATTTTATTGAAGGCCTTGTTAAAAATAAGATTTTGCATTATATGTGTTGTATCTAATGCTTTGATGTATTGTCTTAATAAGTTACCTTCGTTAAATAAAGAGTTTATTATTATTATTATTATTATTATTATGTCAGGGTCTTTCAAATACATGTAGAACCCTGGTAGATCTATATATAATGTACATTTTGTAGATAGAATGTCTATGTTTTTATATGTAAATTAATAAAGAGTAATATTTTGATTCATATGACAACACATTCATGCAATCAAATATGGTATAACTTGTCTAATATGTTTTCTTGTCTTTTGATAACATTGGAAAATATTCAATCATTTGAATACTCGTGCAGGAAAATCGATGGACGCATCTGACCATCACTTAGGTCATTTACCGCTAATATATTTTCTTGCTCAGTTGGGGAAATTGGGAACACGTGAGTTGCTTTTTACATGCTATTCTGATACGAAATAGCTAAATTGATTGCATGTTTTGCGAAGATATTGTTATTATTGACTTTGCTTTAAATTCATGATATGAGCTCTTTCAGGAAATCAAAGTTATTGTTTGTATTATATGTTTTCGCGATGTTCATTTTTAAACATTCGAAAATGTATTATTTATTTGTAATATTGCTAAAAAATGGCGAGATTTGCATTGATAGTAGGCTACTTTAGTTTGATGAAAATTTGAACGAGACTAACAGCTCAAGATGTGTGTGTAACAGATGACATATCTGTTTATGCCGCCTGCATTTTTTGTGACCCTAGCTGTTTAGGTCAGACTCACGTGTTGATTTTCCCAAATGGCCCCTAGTCCTACATTAAATTGTTTTAAAATTTAATTTTTCGTTCTTTAGAGGTGATCTTTCATAGGAGAATGAAATGTCTTGACACATTTAAATGATCTTGTTCTATAGTGGTAGCTAAAAGAGGATTACTCCCCCTTTTCATTGAAATTTTCTGCTGATCACAGGACTGACATGGACTTGAATTATAAATGCAAATATCCAAGTCACAAATTATCATAGAGACTTATGTAATATTTCATTTTCTTTAGAAAACAATATAAGTTAATTCGTAGACAGTTATCAGAAAGTAATTGAAGTATATCACAGTATAAATTATCAATTAGAATCCTGTTGTTTTTAGAGAATACATTTATTTGTACATTTATTTTTACTTTGTTTTGCTGAATTTAGGGTTACTGGAATGAAGCTGTTAAAGTGTATGCCGCAAGTGTCATGGTCTGTTATGAAGCACACTTTGATCAATGTACAGCAGTGCCGCTGCCTATGTGTACCAGCATCTCTCTATGAAAAGAACGGAATTTGGGTTTGTAAAGTTTTTTATGTTTATGCAACTGTTGAATACAAAAACATAAAGTTTTTCTGATAACGTTTTGTAACTATTTGTAACCACTGGAGAAAAAATTTACCTTTTGTGCAACCTACCCCAAGTGCCAGCAGGCAGGCAGTCTTGCAGATTTGCATTCAATTACCTCTTTTTGTTGTAAAAAGTGATGGATATTCATGGCCTGTTACGTTACAAAGATGTAAGTCCTGGGTTTTGCTTCGACTATTCGATAAAAATAATTAGAGCTATACTAGTCTACCGAGCGTCGGGCCGGTGTGACCACTTATGTTAAAGTTTTTTTTAATACCTCAAATATTTTCAAAGTCCACTGACATATGGCTTACACACTTGTTCACCATCATGCCCCTAACCTGTAGACAGGAGGAGGTTACTCTATCAAGCATTTAGACAGAATTATGCCCCTTTTTCGACTAAGAATTTACGTTTAAGTGTGTGTTTTACCTCAGATATTTTCATATTTCATTGTCATCTTGCTTTGAAACAACTTGAAATTTATATACACTTCTTTGTGAGCATAAGGCCACTCTTAAAAAATTATCTGTTTGCTATTGCCGGCCGACCCACCGAAAATGCCCCGACTCAAAAGTTTTTTCAGCTTAAAAAAAATCAGATTTTTTTTTTATTTCCGCCAAATCAGCCAGGGCATTCGACCTAAAAAATTCCCTCGAAAACAATAATAAAATCGGAGGAAAATCACACATTTAATATGTAAAGTAACGAGTGATCATTCATGAGGGCATTCTGTGCATTACTATTTAAAGTATTTACATAAATAGCGACCAACCAGGGAAGGATATTTTCCTTAGGTCACGCAGTACTGCATGCGCGCGGCAATTAAGTTGAATTAACTAATAATAGAACGTATCAAAACGGGATTAAAAATAATGTTTGTTCAATTAATGAATATTTGTAAAGCATTTATATTGTTCATAGTTTACCATGTGGTAATTTTAATGTGCTTTGGAGTACATGTTCGTTTGTTGATGACTGCCAACACAGATTAAATACTTAGCCCATGCAATGAAACATTTCTGGTAGCAGCGGGGATTCTGTCATAAAATTGACCGAAAAAATAAATTTTTGGAAGCTGTGGTCCTTTCATATGCATTGTTGCTTTGATAGCAGACACAAGTATTGCACAATATCTTCAAGATCGTAAAAATGTAAATAAATATCACAATCACAAATATACATACGTCTAATTAAACTCCATGTCAAAATGAACTTCCGATTAATAATATGTCAATAATATTGACACAATAAATATCCAACATTTTTTTTTACTTGAGCAATAATTAAACATGTGTAATCATTCCTTGACAAAAAGAAATGACAGTTTTTTTCTGATATATAAAAATGAGGTGGAAGTCAATTGAGTGTCGGCACTTCTTTGATGATTCGGCAACAACTACAGGTGTGTAAACATCAAAGATTCACAGATTCTTCAGAAGAGCCGACCAGTCATTTGTCAGAGGTCATTTCGTGTGTAAATTTTGTATTTATTATTTAACAATGGAAACATTATATTCCTTTTATTTATGGATGCTACTTTTTTTGCGCGAGTGTTTTTGTGTCTTTTAGCGCTATGGAATTTCAACAATCGGCGAAAATTTTCGGTAACTAACAATGAAATATTTTAACATTTTTAAAACAGGGGTGCAAATATCCGCCATTCAGAAATTATAGGAGACAAATCTTGCGTGTTATTTTTTACAGACGTGTAATAAATTGAGTAATGATCACCTGATAGTCCAAATTTCCACCAACGCTACAACGTACTAAGCGTATTAACTTACGTTCAGTAAAAATCATATATCAAAAAAAAAAAAAAAAAAAGCCTACCTACCGACCCACTCCTTATAACTCTGGGTCGGCAATAGCAAACATATATATTATTAAGGATGGCCTAATAGGACTGGCTCTAAAAAGAAATTAGCCCTTTTATGAACTTGTGAAAATTTTACATTATCAAGGCTCTTTTACTATCAAGCGCTTAGAATTAGTCGAGTGTGCTGTCCTACTGACAGGTCTTGTTTCTTGCTATGGTTTGTCTTTAAGTGATATTTTTAAACTATTTCTCTTTGTTTGTGAAGATTACTTTAGATTTGATACTTTCAGGCAAACCAGTTTGAGTAAAACTTTAATGCTAGATATTGAGGCAGTATGGAAAGAAAGACTTCACCAACTATATGCTCAAAATAAAGCTGACCTCTCGGACATTAAGGTATGTGAACACTTGCAGTGCTTGATTTCAGAAAAATGTGTAGATTTGTTACATGTATTTCATTATATTTGAATATAAAAAGCCCCAAAAAGGGCTGGGTAGTACCATCCAGAAAGAAAACTGAAAGAAATAGCAAAAAGTAGTTGTGTGCTCTTTTACATGTCCAATTGTAATGTATGATTGGTTGCATTTTAACTACTTTATTTAGGTCAAGCAGTAGTGTGCTTATAAATTTAGTACAAATTAAGGTTTTCCCAGACAGGAATATCTTGCTCTCTGGTATCGGTTTAGCGGAAACTCGACAAGGCCTGATTGCCACTCTTAATCTAGATATTAAGTCTGTACCAGCATCAGGTGTAAGATCCTTATATTCTACACCTCAACTGAAGTCTAGGTTGGTGAATCTCATTGTTCACATACATGGAATTCTGAAGATTTAGAAATCTTAATGATAGTAATCCCTTGTTTTTGATTCCAGGAGAGTGATGAAAAGTTCTATGCCCTGTCAATGTTTCCATACCCAAGTGGAAAGCTGCATATGGGTCATGTGCGTGTTTATACCATCAGTGATGTCATGGCCAGGTACCATAGAATGCTAGGTCACAAGGTGCGTTGTATTGTAGGCTTTTTTAATCCATGTACATTCATTTAACTTCCTTTAAAAATTTTATCTAACTTTTGTCCTGCTGAATTTATACAAAGGACTTTGTCTCCTTTGAATTTGGAACTGTTCAAAACAGGATTTAAAATTGGGCAGTGTACAGTATATGTATGGTAGTGTAGGTCACACTGTATGTATGTGCAGACTGGCATTGCTGTATATTGGTAGCATTGGTTTAATGTTATCATCTTTACTATCCATAATGTGAATAACATACTTCATGCAACCACCTATGCTAATCATTTGTAGATTATGTTATATAAGACCCCATGTATTGCAATCAAATGAGCCGCGTCATGACAAAACCAACATAATGGGTTTGCGACCAACATCCCCGCAGTCTGATCAGGATCCATGCTGTTCGCTATCAGTTTCTCTACTTGTAATAGAGTTGTTAAGCGAACAGCATGGATCCTGATCAGACTGCGTGGATGCGCAGGCTGGTCTGGATCCATGCTGGTGGCAAACGCACTATGCTGGTTTTGTCGTGACACGGCTCAAATGGTTTTGAAAATTGAAAAAAAAATTATCATGAGTTATGACCAACTTGAATTTGATTAGTAGTGCATAAATTCAGCAGAACAGCGAAAGTTAAAATAAAAATTGTAAAAAGAAAATTAAGAATCAGATCTTATGAAATATGCTTAGCAGTTTACATTATTACTTATATGGGGAAGTTAGTCTGCAAGCGTGGCAAAAGTTATTTATATAAAATCGATATTCTATCCATATGCCTTATGCATTCAATGGTGTGATGTAAAAATTTGATACAAATCTGTAGTATTTATGATTGCAGGTGATACATCCGATGGGTTGGGACGCGTTTGGTCTACCTGCTGAGAACGCTGCCATAGAGAGAGGCTTACACCCTAAGGATTGGACCTACAGGTAGGTTGGCAGGGCTTTCCTTATTAACAGATTGGCAATCAATATCATCGGTTGAAATGCTGCTAAAATCGGTTGTATTTTCAGCCTGTAGATTTAAATACTGTCCTAACTTTATATTCTTAGGCTAGTTTTAATAAATATGAGCTTATGACGAAGTAACTGCTCTTGATGCCCTTTTATTCGTTTTTGATAAAATAAATGAGTTAAGAGAATGGTTCTAAGAAACTGAACATGAGTGGCTGAGTTTTTGTCAATATTTTAATCCCTGATACAATGAAGGTAAATACTTTTCAGTTAACCAAAGTCATATCACTGTAATGGCGATACATCACGACCTTTGACCTATCTCGTGTAAAAATAAAAAATATAATATTGTATAAATAAACTTGGGAGTCGGCTAAGCTTATCATAAAAAAAGTTGGAATACATTACCTTTATAGAACAAATTTGTAAGTTGAAATTTATTAAATTTAATATTGAGATTGTCATTTATGAAATGTCATTTCAGTAATATTGCTACAATGAAGGAACAGTTACAAAATCTTTGCTGTGCTTTTGATTGGGAACGGGTAAATATTTTTATCTGTCATACTCTTGTTGAATCAAGACTATACTTTGAACAGAATATTTTGGATTGACTTCCCTATTTAATTTGAATCACAACTTCACCCTGTCACTAAATATCAATGGCACTATTAAAATGTTTAATGAAAAAGAAAAAAATTTCACAATAGATAGGCTTTAACCTTTAGCCTGCTTTATACCCATACAACTAGTGCAGTAGTCTCATCATGGTCTGCACTGTTCACTATTCAGTCAGTATTTATTTAGAAATTTTCCATAAAAATGATAAATAGATTTATCCAGACTGAAAAATGGTCAAGTCTATTTAAGATTTTTAGGGTGGCAAGGGTTAAACAACTTAAGGTAGTCTCCCTTAGTGTCAAATCTAAGATTGTCTCCCTTAGTGTCAAATCTTATTAGGAAATGGAAGTAACTGGGTTATATAATGCAGCTATAGTATTAGAATTGATTGTAAAATTGATAAAATGTTTCCAAACAAGGAAACTACTTATGACAACTAGGAATTTTAGAAACTGGGAATTTCAAAGTTTGAGTTTTAGAGTAATAGAAGTTCAATAAAATAGAAATGAAATCTTGTATGGATTTTTCTTATTAAACATTTAATTAAAGTTGCACAAACTAAATTAAAAGTATAATATATGCTAAAAAGTAACCAATATGGATTTTTCACTTGACAGTTTAGAAAAAAAGCTCATACATCTTTGTTACTGTATTCCTAGAAATGTTCGCGGATACAATATTTCGCGTTTTTCACAACGTCGGCATTTTCGCGGAGACAAACTTTCGCGGATATGTAGTAACCGCGAATTCCGCGAATGTTAAGTCGCTACAGCCTAAATTACAGTTTTTTGAGGCTACGTTTTTGATTCATGACCTTGCCTGTTGGGTGCTTTTAATTATTTTATTTTTTGACATGTCGCGCCTAAAGCGCAACGTTACTCGATACAGTTTCATTGACTACTTTCATGTCTCCTTACCTTTTTCATTATGTGATTAAGTTAGATTTAGTCAGACCCGTTAGCTTTTATTCTCATTTGAATCATAACTTACTTTTTCTTCAAAATGTCGATACATAATTTTTACACATTATCGGACTGTACATGGCTTTCATTATAACAACATTACAGCTGTTTATCAATGTAGCACTTGATCGCTATTGTACTTTTAACAAAGGATTACACCTAGCAAATAAAATCCAAGTCATTAAATGTTCACAAACTGTAAATGCGTTTGTCAACTCCGTGACTAACCGTCAATAAGCATAATAATTACTAATAATTGATATTTTATTTTTCAGCGTGCAAACTAGTATCAATAACATACATAAATAATTCTTTACACATTTCTATAGCACCTGTGTTTTTATGGGTTTTTTTGTGTAAGTAGATTATAATAAATATTCAGCACTTTTTATGTTATATTTGGTTGAAGCTAGAAATGTTCTCGGATTTGTTATAAGTGACATATTCGCGGCTATAAAGATTCGCGGAATCATGCCTACCGCTAACTTAAAATGCGCGAAATCTTTTCTAGGAATACAGTATTAGAAATGTCTTCTTGTAGTGAAAGTCAATAAAGGCATATTTTTTAGCTTGACTATTCAAAGAATAGCGGATGTTATTGTACTGGCCCAGGCATTGGTTCAGGCGGCACACTTTGGTGAAGTTTTGCATGCAAGTTTGTATCTAAAAAACTACTGAAGAGAATTGGTTAAAACTTCCCATACTTATTTGAGAGCATAATAGGAGATCACTTTCTAAGGCCCATAACTTGATCATAGATTTTTACAGAATAATGGCCATTTATCAACTTATAAAGTTCTACATTATCCAGGCTCTTGATTTACTATCAAGCACTGAAAATAGTCGCTGATGCTGTCTTACTGACAGATCTTATATATAAAACATCTGATTTTAATTTTCGATACTTACATTTATGTTTATTTTGTAGGAATTGACAACTTGTGACCCTTCCTACTATAAATGGACACAATATATATTCCTGAAAATGTACGAGGCAGGCTTGGTGTATCAGAAACAGGTTGGTCTCTTTCTACTTTGAAATTATTATTATATTGTGATTGTTCATGTCTGAATGATGAAGCTTCGAAAAATGGTAAAACTGTAAAATTATGTCAAATTATGTGAAGTTTTTCTTGAAAATAATTGTAAAAAATATGTTTTTGAACTTTAGAATGCTTAGCAGATAATAGCATCATTTAGGATGTCCTATAAACATCAATACTAATCAGGAAATTTGTAACAAAATTTATCGTTAGCCCTTTACACAGGTCATGATCATGTTTTACGCATATGATTTTGGAATAGTAAGTTCCAGGAAGCAGACTTAAAAATGATTGATACAATTTCCAAAAACTTTCTTTCACAATGAAGTTAAATTGAATATGTTTAAACTGAACTCATTTGAATATAATTACAGAAATGACGATTGACACATCTTTTTGTAAGAATTTAGTAAGAAATTAATGCAATGTATTTACAGGCTAGTGTAAACTGGGACCCCGTGGATGAAACGGTACTGGCGGACGAGCAGGTGGATGATAAAGGCTGCTCGTGGAGATCAGGGGCGAAAGTGGAGAAACGATACCTTAAACAGTGGTACATTAAAACTACAGCATATGCTCAGGTAATATCATCTTACTCTGAGGGATTTGTGTGAGTTTAAGTTTAGTTTGTACAAATTTATTTTAGTTTGATTGTGTTGGAAGCTGTAAGCTTATTGAAACACTCTTGAATCCATTCCTGGAACCAACCAGTTCTAAGCAATGAATGTAAAGTTTCTTGCTCAAGGAAACAACAGCTTGCCTCCTGACAGGGTTTGAACCCTTGCCGTCAGCAATCCTTAGACTACTAGTCTGACGGGTTAACCACTCGACCACATCGCCACTCACTTTAAGTTTAGTGTGAATAATTTACATACAAATTTCACTTAATCCTTTCTATAAAAGTCTTTCTTCAAAAGTGATTTATTGTCAGTTAAAAGATGTAATGGTTGATTGAAATTTAACTCTAAAATGATAGAACCCATTTGTATTACTTTCTTATAATGTTGATACCCAGAATTAGTATTATAGGCTCTTTTTCACAGTCCCTTTTACAAGGCCTAGATACAGTGAGGTCAGACTTGTGGAACAATGTTATTAGCATGCAGAAAACATGGATAGGGGAATGTACAGGCTGTAAATTTGATTTTGCATTGAAGGTAAGTTCTTAAGATTTGTTGAAAATGCTTCACTTAATGAAATATTTACTAAATGATTGTTCATGTTATGCAATTGGCTGAAATATATATGATAAACTTTTAAAATAGGTTATTTGTAAAAATTATGCAATATCAGAAAAAAATGTATGTCAGGGCCAACAAAATCTGATTTTGACTTACTTGTTTGTTTTTATCTGAGGCATTTCTTAACTTATCCGTATGATACTTACAGTTATTTTTTGAAAATTTTAAAATTTCCACTTGTCCATATAGGCTGTGGGACAACCCCGGGTAATACAGACAATTGATTTTGCAGCCCTTGCTTATGCTTTTATTTATTGCAAAGGTGCCAAACAAATGTCTATTTGTATCAGTAGTTTGAAGGAAATCTTATGTAATCTCTGATAATTTGATTCCTCTAAATATTAGATATTCATGTAATGGCATACTGATTGTAGAATTACCCAGTGACAATATAAAGTCATATGACATAATAATTTATACACATGCAGCGAGATGGTAAAGACTTTGAGGAACCTCTCTCAGTATTCACGGACGTACCAGAGGCAGTGTTTGGTGTGTCACATATAGCCTTGTCAACAGAGCATAGATATAACCATGAAAAGTATTATTGTAAGGTATGATTAAACTATGTTTCCCAGTCCTCTGATTAAACTTTTTATTCCCGCTCCTTTAATTAAATTTCACATTTCCACTTCTTTGATTAAATTTCTTTTCCCCACTCTTTTCATTAAACTTCTTATTATCTTCATGTGAGGAAGCTATCCAGCTAGCTTACGAAATGTCGGTGGTTCTACTCAGGTACCCGTTCGTGCCTTAAATAATGCATGGAAGGGCACCTGAAGTCTTTCTCCATCAGTAAAGCTGGAACGTCACAATATGACCTATACTGTGTCGATGTGACATAAAACCCAAAACAAACATAATCATAATAATAAAACAAAAAATTCATGATAAGAACACTAAAACTTAAGAGCAATGACACTGACTTGTCTTTAATTAATTCCCTGCCAGGCCTGTAAAATCTTTTTATTACAAAAATAACAATTAAGAACCCTTTATTACTATAATACAAGAACCCTGTTACCAGGCAGATTCTGTTGTAACAATTCAGATTGATGTGTAACAGTTCAGAATCATTTGTTGTAACGGTGTCAAATATGGTAGCAGTTTTAAAAGGTTTCAATTCATTGTATAATTATGCTCTATTTTTTTCTTATTCAGAAAAACAGCTCTTTTGGTCCAGGTAAGTTTATTATCTCAATGACCTAAAACATGTATGTTGAACAGTTAGACATACTGACATATTTAACTGGCTGTTAGAAAGTTGGTGGTAGTTCATTTCCGTTCGTGCGTGAAATAATGCACTGAGAGGAAAATGTTATAGTGGAAACATTTATTGGGGACTCGCTTCATTCACACACTTTTACAGATGTTACTCCATTCCAGGGGAAATAACTGGTTCTTTAATATACTAGGTTTAAAGCACTATTGTTTAAAGACATTATTTTTATGTATGTATTCTATGTTTATTGATGGTCTGTCCATCTGCCCATTAAGGCACTAAATGCAGCTTTCACTGATGAGTACTGACCCAGGACATGTCACCAGTCATGCCCCTTAAAGGGTCAATTTTGAAGGAAAAATGTGGTCATTTATCTCCCTGTAATTTCCGTTCAGTGAACCAAATGTAGGTCACTGCACAGCAATAAAAACATAAATGTTGCCATAATTCAAAAGGTTTGTTGGTGCTAAGCAAAGGGCCTGCTTTTCAAGCCGTCACTCTCTGTGCTAGTGGCTTACCCACAGTGCCACATTTTTCTCGGGCACCTGAGGGTCCATTGCGTAACATATGCATTTTATAAGCATAGACTTGGTAGGAAATAATTGTGACTTGCGTGGATAATTCAGAGTAGGTCCATAATTGACAAAACATATACATGTAACATACTTTGATTTAAGTGAGAATTTCCTACATACTGTTTGACAAGGTTTATGAATTTTTGAAAGTTTTCAGAGGTAGATTCAATAATTGACTAATTTTTATATGTTTTTGCAGGAGAAACACTGCTTGATATAGAAGCTGTACACCCGGTGACTGGAGAGTCTGTACCAATAGTTATATCTCATCGTTCAATGGAAGCCATGGAGACAAATGACTGCAAGTTAGGTAAATGTTGTTCTAGTATCTATTGATTGTGGCCATGCTAAATCGGGCATATTTTCTGCTAATGTTATAAAAGCCATGTGTATGAAACATTACAATAGTGTTTTAAAAGTCCGGGGGTTTCATCCCTTACACAGAGAATCATGGTATGAATCCTTCGGTTAAGAAATATTTAGAAACATACTTATTCATAAAGCTGTATTAGTTTCGACATATTTATTTATAGGTCCATATTTAAGCTATCATAGATTATCAAAGAAAAAATAAAAATTATAATTAGTTTCAACATACTTATCGATAGGTCCATATTTTTGCTATAATAGATTATCAAAGATAGAAAATGAGATTTATAAAATTTTGTCTTCTGACACTAGAACCGTTTTGTGAACATTTTGTTGTCATTTAACTTCACGGTGTATTTTTGGTTCAAGGTATTCCATGCCTGTCGGAGAAAGATAAAATTGTGGCGGTGTTATGTGGTCTATCATGGCGGAATATATTCACAGACGACCCTGACAACCAAATATTGATGAACTCTCATGCAATGGTTAGTATCATTTGAAACTATTTCAGATTTATTTGCTATCTCGAAAAAAAAGTTATAAAATTAGAATTGGCTATATAGAGCCACCTGCAGTTAAAAAAACAAGAGTTTAAGTTTGTATAGTTGATTAGCATGGTTGAAGGTTTGCAAATCTCTACATTCAGTTCTGTTTAATGCATATATGGTAGATACATACTGAATAGTTATTTTTGCAAAATAATTTTTTTTTTGAATTAGCAAAATTTAATCACCTTTGAAAACTTCTGAATTTTATATGAGGCAACAGATGTGCAAACTAAAATAACCAGTTTTGCTAAGAAGCAAGGGATATTTAAATCTACAGGCTGAAAATACAACCAATTTTAACAGCACCGATGATATGGATTGCTAATCTGTTAATAATGAAAACCCTGTAAATTTACAGTAGAATGAATTTTAAAACTTTAGAAAATGTTCATGTGATGACTGGATTTAAATTTTAGAGGACGATTCATCTGTGTATCTATCTGATAACATGTTGTATGTCATCTTTGTGGACCCTTTTGATTAATAGGTTGATGGATTAAACAGAAAAGATGCAGCCGAGAAAGTCATGTCATTAGCAAGGGTATGTGTATGAAAGCTTACTTTTTATGAATTCCAATGTTTAATTGATGTGGTATTAGATGGCACTTTTAAATATCTGTGAAATAAACTGGTTTTAAATGAAGGGACCTTCCTTATATCTTATAAAGTTTAAGTTTTGGTTATGTGATTAGAAGTTTATTGACCTGAAGCCCCCAAGCTTTTATCTAATATTTAGTTTTAGCTCACAAGAACCAAAATGTTAAGAGTGAGCGGTTAAGACTGATTCCCCGAAAGAGACCTATTTGCCTGACAAGTGAGAAAATTCTTCAAGTGACAGAGCAGATATCCTTTCGACGGCCATAGCGTAATAAAACATACCGAAAAATCGACTTCTCAAAAGCCGGGCCCTATAGTCATAAGAAGGCTATAACGTAATAAACTGGTATAAAATTTTGGCTTCTTGAAAGCCACTACTGTTTTGTCGTAGGAAGGCCACCAAAATTTAGTTTTAAATGACTAAGTTCTTGAAGTTTTCCTTTCATTTATTTCATTCTGTTAAATGTTGTTCAAATAAAAACACCAAGTTTGTTAATTGTATAGTACCCTTTATTGACAGATATAGTAAATGTTTAGAAATACAGTACACTTTTTAATTAATGTGGTAATCAAATCAACATCCAAATTAATTGAAGAAAATCTTTTAAATGGTATAGTATTTTAAAATGCATTTATTGATACATCAAACGGGAGTTTCTGTAAGCAGTTCTCTTATTTGAAACAAAAATGAGTTGAACTTACAAAATTCACGTTGAAAAGCATACTATCAATCACCCTTCCTGAGAAAAATTGATTTTCATTGATTTTCAATAATTATGTTTTAAGACATTGTGGAAGTTTTACTCAACACGGTATTCTTATGGGCTATAAAGGTAAATAACGTAAAATTTACCGTTTTAAAACGTTCAGAACTTGTTTAAAAAAACGTAATATTAACAGTGGTATACGGTATGCTTTGTTGTTTATCGTATGCAGTTGAACAGCCGTAGCGTAATATTTGGATTTTTCATAAACACATTAAAAAACCAGAATGTACGAAAACGAGGTTTTTACGGGTTTGCATGACACAGAATTCAAGTTTTACACTGATTTACGCTACGGTTTCTAGAAAGATATATTTTTGATACGTTTTACTACGCTATGGATGTCTGTCGTAAAATAAGACTGGCTTTCAGGAATGTAAAAATTCGATACGTTTTCTTACGCTTTGGCCGTCCTACGGGTATAGCGGATGGCCGTCGAAAGGATATTTAGCATGATTTATTAAACTGAGAAAAAAGATGAATAATCACTTTTCCATGAGGACAATGAAAATCAGTTTGACAAAGCTTTAACAGGGTTGATTTGTACAGTCTTAAAAAGTGCTTAAATTTGAGACTGTGTCTTAAAAGGTGCTCAAGAATTTGGCATTGTATGTCTGTATGAACCCTGTTTAATTTGGTCCACCAAACTTCAGGTTTTGCCTGATCATTTGACATACACTTGTCCAGTAATTTTGGAACAATTGGATGGTCTGTAAGCTGACAATAGCAATTACTCCTTCCTTTCATATGCTAGCTTGATAGCTTCTTCAAAAGAAAGATCCAAAAGTCATTTTCTCAGCCAAGAATCTTGATTTGACATCTGCTATTAAATCTATGTTGGACACCTGAAATTAATAAAGTGAGAGAATATTATTAATCGTGTTGTTAATTGTGTCGAGTAGATGGCTGGTTGATATTGAACTATTGTGTTTTCTTATTACTGTGGGTTTGATATTCACCAGGAACTTTCACCGGGAACTTCTTTCATATGAAGAAGCTATCCAAATAGCTTTCAGAAGGTCGATGGTTTTACTTATATGCAAAATCATGCCTTAGATAGCACAAAAGGGCACTTAAGGTCTTCCTCAACCACAAAACTGGAAAGTCTCCCAACAGTGTCTTTGTGAATTAGATCTTAATCAAAAGAAGTATATGAATATAGATCATTGTGTTTATTTGAATATTTGTTTCAACTCGCGTGTCACCTGTCTATGTGAATAGATACGGAATATATTGGTACACCAAACGTTTTGAATGGATTTAGATCTAACAGCTCGATTAAATAATCGTATTCACATTGGAAGCACAGTGGAAGAGGCATTAGTGTTATATGACAGAGGTTATTGGTTCAAGCCCTCGTAGGTAAATATCTTCACAATTTTTTACAGGAACATTAACATCTTGTTTAATTGATATCTTAGATATTTTGTGCACTGGATCCTTCCATGAAGTTCTACCCTTACATTATGTTTCAGGTCAATATGGGCATTGATACTAGAGATGAAATAAAAAAAATATGTTTTGCTACAAAAGTTTTAGTTTTAGGATGCTAAATCGACATTGGTGATCATTTGTCAGTGTGGACTCTATACATTTTACTTCATGAAGAATGAAGAAAATTCATTAATTCTTGTATGAAACTTGACTGTTAAATAGTTATGTAGCAGAGACTGTGAACAACTGGCTGGAATTCAATAAAACTTTATGGGAACCATTAATACCAAGAGGAGATATGCACAATTTTTTGCCTTGTTCAGACCAGACCCTTCATTACAGAGTTATGGCGCTTGATTGGTTATTTAATATGCATACATAGCAATATTGCTATTTCTTTGCAACTGCTGTATTGATTTCAACAAAACTTTATGGGAACCATCGATACAGAAAGGCAATTTACATCTTATTATCATGTTATGGCTCTGAATTTTTATCATGTACAAAGAATATAACTGTTTATGCCATGATGAATATATATAAATAAAGCCTTGTGTATAGGTTAGAGTGCATATTGGGTGTTCTTCGTAAATAAGAAAGCTAAAAAGGAGCGGAGCTTGCGAAGCGACTGTTGCTTTCTTATTTACGAAGAACATCCAGTATGCACTCTAACCGGCTTAGTGCTCGGCCCACTTGCGTTTTATAACATAAAACGTCCAGTTTATATAAAATCTGTTCTATTAAGATATGTAACCTGAAAATTTGAAAAATCCTCGTCGGTAAATGGCTTAAAAAAACTGGCGAGCACTAACTCCAGTTGTTGTGTTAGTAATAACAAGTTCTCGGTGGGGTTATAAATTCAATGAATTGCTTGTATTGATTTGTATTGTAAGGGGTACAAAATAAAAAAATAAGAACAAGACTATTATATACAAGGTACATTTATAGAACAAGACTTTTAATAAATATTGCCAACAGTATCAATATTGCCACCAAAATAGAAGCCCCTGCAAAAAACTTTTTTTGACCCCCTATAAAATTAAAAAAGTTTGGGAAAAAATTTCACCTTTTTAAACCCAAAAATTTTAAAATTTACTTTTTCACGAGCAAAATTTGGTCCTCTACACAAGAGGCTCCAATACTCGAATGTAAAGTCGGGAATTTTCAAAGTAAAATGAATTTGGAAATAAATTTTTTTCAAAAAAAATTTTTATTAAGAAAAGAAAAAGGCTTTTTTTATCGGGGGCTACACTTTTGGGGTTTTCCCAATTTTTCCCAATGGGGGGGGCCTTTTTTAAGGGGAAAAAACTTTTTTTTACAATTATAAAAACTAAATTTTACAAACTAATTGCAACAACTTTTGGTGATCCCCAAATGTACTTTTGAAATTGTCAGAACAAAAAAATTAAAATTTTTAAAATATTTACAAGTCCCATTCAAGGATGATACATGTAAAGGGAAGTACATATCAAAATTTAAACAAGTAACATATCAAATTAAAAAACAAAGTGCGGGAAATACCGTTTAAGGTGTGGTAAACAATTTTCAAATGATTAGATTCTAATTTCTTGTTATACAATGTTTTTTTAATTGTGTTTCAAAATAAAAACCCAAAAAAAACTTGTAAATGGCAGGCCCCATATTTTTATCATTTTAAATTTTTTTGATGTCATTTAAAACTAAAGTCTTTAATACTTCTTTTTTGATCACATTTTTTATTGGCTAACCTTAAGGGCCCAGAAAAGGAGCACATATATGGAAGTTTGCTTACATTGGGTTCCTTGCCCTTTGTGAAGAGAAAGCATGTAGCAATCTTAATGCTACCTTGAGGTCTGTTTTGTGTTGTTCCCATACATTGTCCTAAAATGTTGAGAGCTGTTTCTTTATGTTTGAGGTTTTCATCTGTTTCTATTGTTCTAATAAGTTTACAAAGTGCTTGTTGTTGATCTTGATGTTTTTGTAGATGACGATAGATCTTGTATTGTAGGAAGTATAAGAAAGGTAGAGAATCAACTACCGCCCAGTCCATCCAACAGTCTTCTATTTCATCTCTGTGTATCATGTCATCTTGTGTAGATCTGAACATTTCATATTGTAGTTCACGAGGAACACAGTTGATCTCTCCCTGTATAAATCTGACACAAAATGCTGTTATATCTTTAATACAGTCCTCATTTTGTTCACTACATAACCTCTTGAATTCTTCTGTTACTGCTTCTTGGGGTGTATTATGGCAGCTGCAGATAGGTACAACAGGATAAGAATAATATTGTTGTTCTGTGTGTCTCAGAATTAGTTCAGCTTTCTCCATATCTCCTGTACTGTAAAACAAACTGAAGCCAGTTTAAGTCTGCTAGATGAGATATCTGAGTTTAAACCAGCTGATAACCAAACCAATGCTTGAGGTGACACTTGATTATTTTCACCAATGCTGGATGATGCTAGGGTAGAACCATATGTGGTGAAAAGAAAAGGTGCTAGAAAATGGCATGCAACTTGTTCAAATCTATTACCATTATCACTGAAGTTCATCAATTGAACTATTTGTTGCTTATGTTGGTTTATTGTTCTAATGTTTTTATTGTGAAAATGTCTTAAAATATGCTGATGCTGTTTACTTATGTTGTTTGCAATGTTTATACATGCCAACGTCATAACCTTTTCATATATTTCAAGAGAAGAAGGAAAATAGTAAACTCCATGTGGTACCCTGTTCAGTTTAACTTGAAGTCTATGACCAAGATCA